CGCTATTTTTAGCACAAAAAGGAGGACATGTCCGGGTAAATCCGGACGAATGGTAACCCTAGACCTATTTGTATGAGAGCTATTGGGTAAATCAGTAAAGGTTTCAGATACTCCCAACTGCTCACTTTTCATGAGTACTACATTTGTCATAGCTAGAAACTAATGCCAACTCATTTGATCTTCCCTGACTGCAGCTGCTGCTGAAGATAAGGCAGATTTTATTCCCTTAACCAGCTGAACAGGGGGGAAAGGGGCATTTCCAGAAGGCTAAGGGGAAATGCAACTTTTGTCTGTCCACCTTAGGCCCAGTGATCCCTGACTAATTTGGCTCAGTTTGTCTCAGGCAGGAGCTCATTGTCAGTAAATGCAAAAACCCCACCAGTATGCACATGTAATTAAGCCTTAAATGTTTTCTTTCGTTTATCTTTTTGCTGCTGCTTATGGTAAGATGTGTAGGGGAAACATAACTGTTAATGTTGTATGTGAGCTCAGGCACAGTGTTAATGGATAAACTTTTCACATCTGGGGATTTCGGTGTAACTTCTTTCTAGACCCCAAATGAAAACCAATGGTTTAGTCTGAAGTTGGTCCCCATCACAGAATCACCAGACCCTTTAGTAACATTAGCAAGCAGTCTTTAGTAGAGAGACCAAGGATCTCAATAGCTGGAGTGCAGCAGGGCACAACTGAGGCACGTTGGCAGAGCTGTGTAAATATTAGGGCTGATCAAAAAATTTTCGCCAAAGCTGTTCTTGACAGAAAATTTTGTTTTTAACTAAATTAAATTTTCTGTGAAAAGTGTCCACTTTCCACAAAAAAAAATCAATTTTTATTTAACATCTGAAAGCCAAAACCCAAAATATTTTGGCAGAAAACAGAAATATTTTGATTCTGAAATGCCGCCATAGTGCCTCATGAGAATTGTAGTTCTGGTGCCTCATGCTCCAGTTCTTTTCTATGGGCCAGGGTCACTGGATGAATTTAATCTCCCATGATGCACCACTGCCATGCAGCTACCATGATACACTGCCTCCCATCTCCAAGAACTGAGACCACGGTGCTTCATGTGGAAAGATGTCGTTTGACCAGGGAGCCGGACACACAGAGGAGAAAGGGAATATGAGGCACCCAAACTACAACTCCCATGAGGCAGGACTGGAATATTTCAGTTTTTGGCTGAAAACTTGATATTTTCTTTCAAGGGGAGGATTCCATTTTCTGACTAGCTCTAGTAAATTTGTTTACCCATACTATGATTGGATCTGTCCAGCATGAAAAATTATTAACTTCCGGGAGGACCAGATATACTCATGGTAACAGAAAATATTGTATAACCCAGAGTTTATTTGTTATAGGCAATTTGTCAGGAACTGGTCCAGGTTTAACAGGAGAAATGGGGTCAGTACTGCTTTTTTTTTTTTTTTTTTTTTTTTCCCCTTTTAGTAAGAAGGAAAGCAATTAATAAAAATGCTACAAAAATGGGAACTGGCTGGCTGACTGAAGATGGGGCTTGATCTCTCTCTGATTCTGCAGGTGTAAAATGGGATGATAATTAAGGCTACGATTTTGTCACAGAGGTCATAGATTCCATGACTTTCCAGGATCTCTGTGACTACTTCTGGGGCAGGTCTGGAGCAGCTGTCAGCCCCAGGGCTGCTAAAGCAGTGGCTGTCAAAACAGCTGGCCAGCAGCCAGCCCTGGGGCCGCCAGAACAACAGCTGGGGTTGGGTCAGCCCCACTGGGGCTGGAGCAGCAGCCGTCAGCCCCTGCCACAGGAGCAGCGGCGGGAGCAGCTGCAAGCCCCAGCTGAACTTTGTTTGCCCCCCCCTCACCTCTCTGGGTATTTTTAGTAAAAGTCAGGGACAGGTCATGGGCTTCTATGAATTTTTATTCATTGCCCGTGACCTGTCCGTGTCTTTTACTAAAAATACCCTTGACAGAATCTTACCCTTAATGATAATGCTTATCCACCTTGTCAAACTGCCTTGAGATAAATGGATGAAATATGCTATACAAGTACTAAGTATTAGTATTTATCAAGTGGGAGAAAATAGAAGACTTGGGGGAGATCTCACTGCTGATTATGGAGGTATCTGATTAGCTTTCTACGCTAACCACCAAATAGTCTGTCAGATTTTTATTCATGTGTATGAATACTGTTTGCTAGGATAGTTACTCATCGCCTCTTTTTAAAAAATTAAAAAATACATAAAAATGGGGGAGGGGGAGAAAAACTGTCTTGTAGATGAATTTTGTTGTAAGCTATGAGCATGGCTTCTGGTTTTTTTTTGCCCATAGGCTTTCATGCAGCCCCACTTGCTGGGTAACGAGTTCACACATTTAGAGTTTCCAAGGAGGGTGCAGCGTAAGGAAGTTGGGAAGAGGATGCTCTACAGGGACTTTAACATGACTGGCTGGTAAGAACGTGCCGTTTCTGAGCATTGAAAGGGGGGGAAAAATAATGCATGCATTCTTGATTAGCGTAAATCTGTCTACATCAAAACAGCAGTGTGCGTGTGTGTTGTGAAAGGGGGATCTCCCTCTAGCCAACTTTTTATTCTTTTTAGAAAACAAAATCTTAAATAAATCAGAGATTGTCTAGAGTTATGACCTTGGCTCATTCTTGGTGTGAGGAGTGATAGTGAGGCAAGACCCTCAAAGGACATACCATGCGAGTCTTTCATGTGTTTGAAATCATTCTGTTTTATAAATATTGTAGTCTCTGGTTTAACATAAATTCATTTTCTTTAATAATGTGCTTGAAGAACTCTTCAGTGGCACATTATTGAAGTGGTTGTAGGGTAGATACCCCTAGACTTTCAAAAGGACTTGGACAAGGTCCCTCACAAGAAGCTACTAAAGAAGGTAAGTAGTCATTGGGTGAGGGGCAAAGTATTAAAAACTGGCTAGGAGAAGGGAAACAAAGAGGAGGAATAAATGGTCAAATTTCCTTTTGGCAAAGAGTTAACAGCAGGGTGACTCAAGATTCTGTAACAGTTATCGCATTGTTTAATATATTTATCAGTTCTCTGGAAAGGGGAATGAGCAATGAGGTAGCGAGATTTGCAGATAACACAGTCATTTAGGTTAGTCAGGAGCAGAGAAAAATGGGAGGAACTTCAGAGACCTGAACAAGCTGGGTGAATGGGCAACACAATGGCAAATGAAATTCAGTGTTGATAAATGCAAAGTAAATCCACACGGGAGGGAAAAATTCCAACTACTCAAACACCTTATGGGGTTCTAAATTAACTATCGACTCAGGCAAAACCTGGGCATCATTGTGAACTGCTCAGTGGAGCTGTGCAGCTGTGGTCAAAAAGGCAAACAATGTCAGGATGAATAAGGAATGGGATGGTGAATAATACAGATAATATTATAATGCCATTATATAAATCAATTATATGTCCTATTTCAGTCATCCCAGCTAAAAAGAACTTTTGCAAAATTAAAGGTGTGTTTAAGGAAGGGCAACAAGAATGATCAAAGGCCTGGAAACCGTTCATATGAGGAGATTGGGGGGATGGTATTTTTAAATAGCTTTAAAAAGGAGATGAGTAAGAGAGGACAAACATTTGCATAGCGTTTACACTACAGTTTACAATCCTGTTAGTTAACATGTCTTAAACCATGACTAAAAATTCACCTATAAGTACACCACGGCTGTACTGACAGTTGAAGAACAAGGGCATGGAAAGAGCCACAAAAATGCAAGTGGAAGATGATGCCACGTCTTCCCTATAGTCCCTGAATTTATAAATGTGAGCAAAGAAGGGGGGACCACTTTTGTACTGGAGTCGTTAGTCAGCAGTTGAGTATCTTGTAGCCATTTTCTCAGACTAAGTCCGGTGCTGGCGCATCAGCAGTCTCTCTTGTTTCTCTGCTTCAGAGCTGAAAACAATCTAATGGTGAAGGGACTGCTATATCCTCGTGAAGCTTAGCTGATCAGATAAGGGTGCCATTTCCATTTTAAATGTGCTTGGTCAAGGAAGTTGTGCTTCCCACTACCTGTGTGTTCTTATGTAATAATCTTCTAGGCTGGAGTCTTCTGTTTAGCTCATAAAACAGGCCCCTGAGTTCAATGTTTGGAATCCTTTTAATGGCTAAAAATATGGTTAAGATGTTAGATTTCTAACATACCTACAGGCTCAGTGATTGTTATTTCATGATGATGATTTCTCTCCTCAGGTTACTTACTTCTCCCTTTCCCTCCTTGAGTTAAGGTAGCTATTATAGAGTTTAAACCAGCATATATTTCCTTACCTTCTCCACAAGACTCACTATAGTATAACCTGGTGTACTAAGCCACTGCCAAACCTAGACCTCTTCATGCCAAATTTGAAGAGAGAGAGGGGCATGGGGGGGAGGGGATGAATTAATTGGCAAGATCTTTGATCGGCGAACCTCCTGCACAAGTGAGTAGATGTGTGGGTGGTTTTTGAAAGAGAAACGCTCACTCTCACACTTAATTATTGAATGCAAAGAAAACTAACAAAGTCCAGTGGTGTAAAACATAGCCCCCAGGGTTTCTCTTGAAAAAGGAACTGTGCTTGATTTTAAAATTCAGGGCGTTTCTGTGTTTTCTATTAGAAGCTATAAGATTTTTTTTTCCCTTCTACTGTGCTCTGGAGTTTTTCAGAGGCTCAACAATAGATTGGCTTGGCTAGCTTGTTTGGATTACAAAAGGTTATTGTCTCTGGAACTGTCATAATGCAGTTGGGCTTCTTTTTTCATTTTTTTTTCCCTGTGAAGTTTCCACATTGGCTTTGTTTCAGCAGCTCACAGTGGTAGCAGAGCTGCCAAGCTTCCTCATAGCATAAGGACGGCCACCGATCCGGCAACATGCACTGCCTCACACTAGTCTAAGGCTGCCTGTAATTGCTTTGAGACCAACCCTTTCCCTTCTCCCCCAATCCTTATCCGACCCCCACCCCAACCTTGTCTCCTTTCTCTGTCTCGTGTGTTCAGTTTTTGTGCCAAAAATTCCACTATAGCCTTTAGGTGGGAGCTTAATGCAAGTCACCCCCCTCGGCGTTGTGTTGAGCAGCCATCACGGGATATATATTGTAGCTGGCATTGTATCTTAAGAGCTCTGTCTCCTGCTGAACAAGCCTCTGGGCTATCTCAAGCTGCAATTTTCTGGCAGACGTCTGTATTACTAAGTTGAAAGAGCAGTTTCTCACAGCTGGATCTGTGGTACTGGGTTCCCAGGCCTATGGCTGGTAGAAGTTAAACCTTGTCATGAAGATGGCATTTTGGTATCTTTCCACATGTCCTGCTGGGCTGTCCATGAGACAACAGATACACCAGTGATGTTTCTTCACTTGTGGCCATAAAGTCTAGCAGCTGCCAACGTTCCATTTCATGGCAGCTTGTGAGGTTTCAGAATTTATTTTCAATCTGTTTGGGAACAAAACCCAAACCTTTGGAACATTTTCACAAAAACAGAATTGTGTTGAAATGCCTGGTTTGAAACTGATACCTGAGCTTTTTGAGTCAGGAAGATTTTTTGTGTGTCAGAAGTGACCAGAACCTTGGACAAAAAATCCTTCCTGGTGAAAATGTATGTCTCCGCAAAATATTATGGCTTTGACGAAATTGCATTTTATTGAAAATGTTCCAAAACCAGCTGTAGTCCCAACTACATGCAAGGGATTAAAAACTAGGAATAAAATGAATAGAAGTCATAAGCAGAATCTGAGCATTCTGTGTACCTAATGGTACAGCTGTTCCCAGATCATCTGTGTCTGTGAGGTTTTGTGGTTGTTGTATACAATTAGCCACCAATGGCCATCACGTTTTGGGGAGGGATCTCTGTGTGCGACTTACTCCATACCAAAAAGGCTGGTATATTGTCCACCTCCTGGAATGCTGCCAACCTATTTAGTGCTCTCTCTTTCCTTTCTAACAAGGAAGATCTTTCAGCCTCTGATCATCTGATAAAATGAGTTTAAAGTGAAGTTGTTTTTTTAATTTTGTTCAGGATGGATGACCTTTGCTTTTATTGTGCAGCCTGCACTGGCGTCTGCAGCTCAGACTCCAGCTCTTAAAAATAAGATCTCATTAATCACTTAACGGGGACCCAAAATCCCACACCAAGAGCCAATTGCACACGTTTTGCTTGGGAACACGCAAGTTGATTTGAACAATAATGTCAAGGTGGATGCTGTCCTATTCGTTATTGCTCTGTTCAATGTCCTCTGACAGCACATTCAGGTAGCCTGACAGAGAAGTGGATAAGCAGATTGAGAAATGCCACAGAGTGCTTTATGAAGCAGACGCCAGCACTGCACCCCTGTTTAATATAAATTGATTTATTGAATCAAGCACAGAAGCCTTGTTACAGAAACCTCAGGCTTTATCCTCTAGAGAACCACCTAATAAAACAGCCCCAACTGACACTCCTCATTAGCTTTCCCTCGGATCCCAAGGCAGTATTTAAAGTGGCAGTGTCCCTCTTTTAGGCCTGAATTTATCTGCTGGTCAATGCCTGTGGGTCTAATTAACTTAGCATTATTAGTCTTATTCAGATAAGCTGCATTTCCTAACAGCTTGACTCCAAGTTGTAAAGAGTAATTGGAAGTCTGCAAACCCTGCATCTTCACCCACTTGATTACACCTTTTAGCCAAATTCATGTAATTTACAATAAAAAGTTCATATTTTTATTAGTATTTTATGGGCTTTTTTGTCTAGTGGAACCCTGTGTGCTTCCTCTGTTGAAATTCTGACTGTATTGTTGTGCTTAGACCTCAGTCTCATATCCTTTGTAGAACTGCCAGGGAGAGATCAAATTTTAATTTCATAATTACTTCACAAGAAAGCAGCCTTTTCCTGGTCGTGCCTGGTATTAATTTCCTCCCAGCGACTTACATTTTCATAATTTAATGATTATGGCAACCTTGGCAGCTTTAGGCCTTTCTAGAGAACAGGGGGGTAGGATGTCATTTTTGCAGCAGGAACTGTAATCCAGAGCTACTAGCAAACCGAGCAAGAGGGAGAAAATAGCAAGGCGAATTAGCCGCTTGCAAAGCTCCTGTAATGGGAGAGGGGCTGGAGAATGGTTCTTTCACATGTGCGGATGAGGCAGCTCATTGCCTGGTTGTCTGGAGCACAGCTCTGGAATGATAAATGGTTGTTTGCAATGTGCATGTTCTGCATCTTTTCAAGATTTGCAGCTCTAGCTGCAGGAACAGCGGGGGATGAGACCTGACCTGCTGTGTACAGCACATCTCCTGACAGTGACGAATGACTCTGCTTTCCCCAAGTGCACACATGCCACAGGAACTGAGCCAGTGTCTTTGGGGCAGGATAAAACAAAGACAGGACAGAAAAGTAATAGTCATTGCTGCACCAAAAGGAGAAAAGTAGAGCCACGAGATGCCTTAGCAGTTCCCCACCATTTGTGCAACAGACCCC